TGAGATTTTTTTTCTTAAACCCAATTTTATGGGATATAAGATAAAAAAATAAAACAATTAAATAAAATTCTGGATAGAATAGCAATGCATTAATTACGTTGACTTTTCAACATACTAAATTTAGTAAATATGATACCTTATTATATAAGTATAGATGGTCTTGTTGAGGAGTGTTCTTTATTTGAACACATTGGAAGGCTTTGGATCACAATTTAAATTTTTGTATGAGATTGTCTAATTAATTAAACTTATACTCTATGAACAAAAATATATACTTATACAGTTAAATGTTATGCTTATATTCATCTTTTTTCATAGTAATACAGATTATAATGAAAGTATACGTATTTGTAAAAATAACATGTCGGTTTGATAATTAGACTGACCTCAAGAACTATCAATGTATGAACAATGAACGAAGAACACCCAGTTTTAATTAATGAAGTCATCTCTATCCCTTATATCTACTCTAGTGCGAAGTTTACTCCACAAAATATTTTCTTTTTCTTTTTATTGTTAAAAATAGCACAACAATATTTATATATGTTATATGCTAAATTATATATATCATGTATTCAATTATCATTTCAGCGATCAATGATTTCACTCATTCTTACTTAATATTAAGCTAACGAATCCTTCTCTTTTTGCCATTCAATTTCTCAGTCAAATTGGTCGAAACACTCATTAACTTAAAATATTAAGTGAGATTAAGAGATTTCAATTTATAATGCAAGCCATTGAAAATAATTTTCTTGTGTTAATCTTGTTAGTCAAACAATTTTCACATTTCTTCTATTATAAATGAATTTGTTAAATGAAGATGTTTATTATGTTGAAAAAAATTGTGGTAAATTTTTATTCATATGTTTTTATTTTATTATTAAAAAATTACAAAATAAAATTAGAATCCATTAGTAAATAAAAAACCCAAAATTATTTAACATAATAAATACATTTATTAATACACATATACCTGAATTTATTAATAATATTATATTAAAAGGCATAAACATAAAAAAAAATATAGCGAAATTACAGTGTTGCGCCAGATGTGGCGCAACACTATTCACAAATGCAAAGTAGCGCAGGTTTCTGACGTTGCGTTGGAGTACAATTTCTAACGATAAACGCTACTCCAACACAGCATTGGAGAGGCTCTGAATATAAATTCTTGCGTTGAGTGGCCGAACTATTAGGCAGATCGATCTGTCATAATATTTTTATAATAAAAATGCATATCTATACTATCGAATGTCATATACTTTTTATGTTAATATTTACAATACAATGTTTTTAATGTGAAAGTATGCATATATATTGAAAAAAAAAAATACAATTGCCTAACCGTAGGCAAAATACAATTGTCTAACCGTTAAGTCATTTGTTGGTAGTAGATTTTAATGGATTAGACATATTAATTACATTGTTATATTAATTTTGATTCATCTTAATAGTTCACCAATCACTTTCACCTTTCTTTGAAAAAAAAAAATAAAATAAAAAAATTGAAAACCGAAATCAATAAACTTCACATAAGATATCAATTCTCCTAATCTTTGGGTAACAAAATTTACATTAAATAAAGGCTAAGACGTCCATTGTTTTGGTCTTTAATAATGAGAGAAATTGCGATTTGGTGTAAAGAGTAATACTCCTCGATCGACGGTGGACACATCTTAATATGTCCACCGCTTATGTGACATGTACATATGGTGATGTTAATACATCACCAATGTGTGCATGCCACATAAGCGGTGGGCATATTATAAAGATGTGCCCACCGTCGGTACGTGTGAGATGTAGGTGTAAAAGTTGATTGTAAATCGCTAAGGTTTATTTTCAAAGAACCCACCACGAAAACACAACCAATGAAATTTTGGGGTATTATTGAAATCATTTTGCTACCCACTTGAGTGAAAGGCCCATGGAGCCATGGACCACTTTTTATTTAAATTAGGGATGAATTTCGCCTAGTCTTCTCAAAAACATTATAATATTAATTATGGTGCATATGTGTACAGTGACAACGTTAGTTTTGTATGAAAATGAAATTTTTAAAGTCAAAATGGAAATTCTTATATTATGTATATGGTAGGTAGCACTATTGTAGATATTTATCATATGAATAATCTCTTGTTCTCCCAAACCTGAATAACCTGTAAAAATGTTGGAAGGGAACTTCATAAAATCCAACGAGTACTATCTATGGGCTATTGGTAAGAAATTAGAAGTGATTAAAAATTAATTTTGAGTGGATCAATTTTTTTTATTCATTATAACTCAATCATACTATCATCAATATTATCAATATAATTAAACAATATCAGTCATCTATCTTCTGTTTCACACTCCTACTTTTATATCCCACTCAATCAGTTGTATTTAAAGTAATTCACTTTAACTCAAAATTCAAACAAAAACGATTTTAATTGATAATGACTTTGTCGAAGATGAGATCATTTCACCCCTGAGTAATTTATCTCTCTAAAAGTAAAAAGCCACAAATTGAAGCTTCCTTTGCCTTCCCCGGCAGGCCGCCGGTCTCCTCGATGGTGGCCGGTTCCTGGCTCGCGGCCCGTCCTCGATTAGGTACCGGATCCCATATTCGCGAGCAGTTGTGGAGTCGGTCGGTCCCGAATGGTCTTCAGCGGATTAGGGTTGCCATCCCAAGACGAAATCGCCGGTTTCCATGGCAGAGGAGGGTTGTGGTGTTCTTCGTGGCGGGTTGCTGCTCCGATTGCAGTATTGGTGGTTGGGGCGGAGGGCGAAGGCTGCCTACCCTTCGGTTTCTTTTTCCCCTGGTGTTAGGGAAGAAGACTCGGCCATCGCGTCGGGCCTGGCATGGTGTGGCTCAGTTCGGGGTGGTGGTGGGTGGTGAGGGTTGGGGTTGTTCGTCTGATCTCCGACTGAGAGCTTGTGGTCGGCCAGCCAAGGCGCGGGTCGTGATTTTGGTGTTTCAGTTCTTGTTAGGCCGTGAGTGGCAGTTTCTGGTGTTGAAACTCGGCTCGTGGCCTGGCCAGTTGGAGGTCGATCGTGGTGTTGCCGTTATGGTTTTGGCTGGTGTGTTAGTCCGGTCGTTGGAGGTCGATCGTGGCATTCCGTCCAAGTTATATGACTCGTTTAGATCCCTTTGATCCCGGTTAATATCTTCATATGATATGTAGGAATTCAGAATCTTATCATCTAAAATCTCCCTTCTTTAGTGGATTCTCCATTCCCAACTCTCAATGTATCTGTGTTTCTAAACACTAGTACGTAGCTCGTGCGATGCATGGGACAAAAGTATTAAATGAGTCATTTCTACAGAGCTTGTCCGTTAAGTAGCTCGTGTGACTCACGGGAGATAATAAATGAGTAGACCATAGGGCTTGTCCGTTCAGGCCTAAAAAATAATAGAGTTTGATCATCTTTTTTTTTTTTTTTACCTCTTTTCACCAACGTCATTTTTTGTGTCGGGACATTAAACCTGAGCTTGGTAGCGCTAGCTCGTAAATTAATTAATATATTATTTCGCTCACATATTTATAATAATATAAATTTGATTTCAATACATATATATTTATTCCTTGATATAAGAAAAATAACAATTTTACGTAATCTTGTTCCTCGTATAATACTCATATTATTTTATTATAAATTTATTGTAATATTATGTCATTATTATTATTTATACAAGTTATAGATGTAGTCTTCTTCTTCTTTTTGTTTTATGTAACTAAAATATTTGATGTATGTTAATATTATTTATTAAAGTTATTAATTTAAATTATGTAAATAAATTTAAAGTAAAACATTTTGTACAAATATTTTACAAAATATATATAATTTTTTTTTAGAATTTATTTTTCTTATAATAAATAAACATCTTTGAAATTCTATGCAATTATTAAACATCCATGATATAAATTCGAAATCATACTTGAATTCTATGCAATTATTAAATTTGTTCGATGTTAATGGAAGCAAATTTCAGAAATGTAACAAAATCATAAGGAATTTTAAAATTTAAATTTTAAATGAGACATGTTTTTACTTGAATTCTCTGTCATTATTATTTTGTCTGATTTTATGGCAAACAATTTATTTCATATTTTAACGTAACAAAATGATAAGATTTTAATATTCAAATTTAAATTTGAAATGACACATGTTTTTACTTGAAATATATTTTAATGCATACCAGTTTTTTAGCTATAAAATAATAATACAATTCAAAAAATAATGAAAATAGAATGCATTAATTACTTTTGACTTTTCTTCCTACTAATTCTAGTAAATGAGATGACTTTTTATATAAGTATAGATTACAATTTTGTATAGTTTAAATTCATTATTGTGCAAATGAGATTATTTATTCTTAGTTCTAATCAAATTTCGTTATAGAAAAAATATTTAATCCATAATTGATTATATAAGTGCTGAAAAGGACAATATTGAAATTGAAGTGAAGAAAATTGGGTAACATGACCTCGATTCTATAACTATACTACTCATATTTAAGAACCATAGTTTTATATTACAGTTCAGATTCAACCTAAAAACGCAAATTTCAATTCATATTCATTAGGTAACACGGTCGTACATTTCAAACAAATATGCATGATTTCATATCATAAATAAGCATTTTTTTAAAAATATGATGGGACGTTTGTCTAACGGTTAGACTGGCCATCTCACACAAGAATTTATGTTGCAAGTGTGATGTAATGTTTCATGTAGAGTACTCGAAATAAGAACGACTTCGGTTGCATTTTTAAGAAGCCGATACTATTTAAGTCGATAGTTTAACTATTTTGCATACCACATGCCCAAAAAAATAATTTAACCACATCTAAGTATCTGAAAGCAAGTCAAAGACTCGATCACCATATAACTCGGGTCTTCCCAATTCTATCTACATAGTATGGAATACACCTTCCTCTCCAAGGAAAGAATTAACTGAATTTCATATAAAATACAAATATTCAGTTGTTGCAATACAACTGTTTACATGCCAATCACCTCTCGTCGGAGTTGAACCTGTTCCATGCCGCCTAATAAAGCACAGAGAAGATTGAGACTTATTGTCAAGTGTAAATCACAGAAAATCACTCTGTACCAAGTAAATGTTAAGTAACTGGCTTGATTAATTTTAGATAATTAGTGAAAAAAGCTCAAGCATGGGCTCAAATTTAAATTTTTTATTTCATGAAAAGCCAACAACTTCTTACCTTGAGAAGATCGAAAATCTTTTCGCATAAGTATTTTTGCTGAATGCTAGCTCCTCTTTGCTGCAATTTGTCAGGATGGACGTAAAGAGTGGCTTTTCTATAAGCTTTCTTTACAGCAGCAGTTGTTACTATTGCTGTAAGAGGAATAGGCTGCCAACCACTGTCCGGCCCAAGGATCTGAGCACAAGTTGAACATATGTTATTTGATTGGATACTAAACTCATGTCATTTTAGGCTTCAAGATTTCAAGGGAGATTATTACTACTGCCTCAAACTTGAACTTAACAGTAGTTTTTTTTTTTTTTTTTTCATTCAGTCATAGCCAATGAAGTGAGCACACTTGATGGTGTTTGGGTCTACTGGCTATATATTACAAGGTTTCACATAATATCTCCATCAAGCCTAAACAGTGAAGTACATTTTAGCAGCACTTTCTTCAACCATCTAGGCATATCAACAAACCCGTAACAAAAAAAAGCGTCATATTACTGTGACAATAGATTAAGGCTATGTTTCGTAGTCAAATAAGCTAGCGTATAGCATATTTTGTTAGCTTATAGGTTTCCTATATTCAAATAAGCTTCGTTTGGTAGGAGGTGCTTTTTAAAAAAAAAAATCGACCTTATCTCATAAGCTTCTTTAAGTAGCTTTTCAAATAAGCTCGTTGAAATTTTCATTTCAGCTAGCTTATCAGCTAAGTTTACCAAACACTTTTATCATATAAGCTAGCTTTTCAGCTATTAGTCATAAGCTATCTGCTATAAGCTAAAACTTCACTTAAAAGCTATAAGCTAGCTTATCAGTTATTAGCTAACTAGTTTATCAGCTAGGTTTACCATAACATAGCCTAATAGTGTATGTGTATGGGGAGACAAATACATACATATTGCAGGGTTGAAAGAAGTGCACGCAAGTTCCCCTCCTTTCCTGTAGCCCATCTCTTAATTTCAGCATCGAGTGATTCAGCTAGTCTCTGCAATAGGACACAGACACTTGTCAAACGAAAACAAAAAAAAAAAATTAAAATATCCAATGCCACAAAAAAGTTGGTGGTTTAGGCAACCAATCCAAAATTTAAATGTCATAAAGCAAACTACATTTCTCTCAGCCTGCTCTTTCTGTACAAGAAGATCCCTCCTATTCTTCTCAGCGAGGGCTTTTGCCTGCAAAAACACCAGTTGAACAGAGAAAACAATTAGAGCAGTTGAAATACAGGGATGTTGAACAAAAATACATATAATGCTGAGCCAAAGAAAAGAGAGACAAAGCCAACTTTGAAAATAACAAGATAACTTCCTCGAGGTTACGTCCATAAAACATTATGTACCTTTTGTAAACAGAAACAAACTGCAAGGACGTCTTTCGTAAATCTTTTAGCTACTTTTTTTTTTTTACAAATGTGACAACCACAGGAGTTAGTTTGTGAATTTATTCCTCAACTACAGTAATTGAGAAATTGCGTACCGCACGCTCCATTATCCTCTGATGTCTCTCTAACCTCGCTTTACGTCTCTGTGCAGATTCAGTTCCATTCTCCAAATCCTGCACACAAGTGAATATCAATGCCTTCAGGACATATAGCAGAACATTTAACATGCAGATAAAAAAAAACAAAAAAAAACAAA